CCACCATTTAGCAATCTAACTTTTCACATCATAATTTAAACAACTCATATATAATACACAAAATAGAAACTATCAAAAAAATAATACACAAGATAGCTTTAACAATATCTAAGCCTTCCAAAATAAGGCCTTAGTTGCACATTGTAAATTGTAGATTGTAGGTATTTTACTACTAAAACCTTGTGGAGACCAATTTTTACAATCTAAGGCCTAGGTGCTCAATCAAAATAGGCTAGCAACATATACAAGGTTACATAAGCCAAGCCATTGGATTAGGACTTTTGGCTAATATTTTCATGGCTTGTACAAAAAGATCTTGCTCATCTCAAGATTTTAGTTCTATCGGTTGTTAGTTGAAAGTGTCTTTTACTAATACGAAACTAAAATTGCTAATAGAATTAATTTGTTCCAACAATTATTGTATTCCACAATAGACACAACATCTGCAAACGGACCCTAATATTGGTGGAAGGGTTTACTTGAACGACTTGCTGGTCAGTCTATTATACTACTTTTTTTTTCATTTGGGTGTCTCAGTTACATTTGTCTTCGTTCGAACAATTATTATATAGTGCCTAACTGAAATCAACTCAAGACATAGACAAATGTAAGTGAGACACCCAAATGAAAAAAATGTATTATAATAGACTGAGCAGCAAGTCGTCCATGTAGAGGAATTCTAATATTGATGGCAAGTCTCTCAAGTATCTTACATTACCATTTATCACGATGTTTCAGGACTCGTTTTCAATTGTACGCATGGAAAAGAAAATAGTGTATCGTGTAGGTTTGGAGAAGTGGTATTTGATAGCAAGTCATAGTTGATTACATCGAGATATAGCATACACTTTTTGGCGATTTGTTTAAAAGGACAAACACGACGATAAACAGGAACTGCATAGTCCGATGGAGTTTCATAACGTGGACGAGATTAATTCTGAGAATTTTGGGAATTACTCCTACTAACCGGCTTCTAATTAGACGATTCGATCCACAAAACTTCATCTAAAAAGGTAGATTAGGATTTGACATCTCACCGTGGACAACCACAGCAAGCACGATGGTAAACCCCGGCGATCCACTCCTTTCTTCCTCTTCTCCATCTGACGGGTCGTCGTTCTAGTTGGAGAAGAATGGGTATGTCGGCAACGACGGCAAGCCCTAGGTCCTCACTTCCTTCTTCCCCCTTCTCTCCTCTCTTCTTTTCCGGTGCAAGAACACAGGGAGGCAGAGACTGTTGGGCAGCCAGATCTTGGTTGGGAAAAGAAAAAAAAAACAAGGCATACAGGAAGAGGTCACACCAACAGAGTCCTTGGTAGAAACGCATAGTATTCTTAGATACTGTAGCTCTACGGTACTGTAGCAGTACATATTTCTTTTGTGCTAGGCCTTGCCACAAATGTAAATCCAAAATTCGATTAGTGCGTATGAGTAGTCAAATGGAAAACATTCTACGAGCTCTACGCATTTGGAGTCTCCAGTCTTCTATCGGAGCAACGGATCAAAATGTCAAATTTCAATTTCTCTTTAAAGCCAGTCAACCTTCGCTAAATAAATTACTTGATCCATACTAAAAATCCATATTTATGCCATGCATTTTCAGGTGTTACAGATCCAAAAGCTTACAGGAATCCCAAACAAACAGCACTAGCTTAAGGGGCTGTTTGGTTCCTTAGACATGATTTTAGTCCCTGTCCCATCGAATGTTTGGACACATGATGGAGTATTAAATATAGACTAAAAAATAACTAATTACACAGATTGCGACTAATTTGCGAGACGAATTTTTTAAGCCTAATTAGTCCATGATTTGATAATGTGGTGCTATAGTAAATATGATGATGGATTAATTAGGCTTAATAGATTCATCTCGTAAATTAATCTATTCCTGTGTAATTAGTTTTTTAATTAGCTCATATTTAATCCTCTTAGGTAGCATCCAAACGTCCGATGTGACACGGACTAAACTTTAGTCCCTGGATCCAAACACCCCCTAAGTAAATATGGTGGCCAGTCCCTGCACAAAAAGATATGGTCTGTAGAGAAGTCAGCCGTCTTTGCATTCTCTGGACACCTTGTACTACTAATGTGAAAGCATGCCGCGCCAAGACTTGCTGAAAGATTCAAAGTCCTAGATAGAAAGAAGTGAGCATGGCTGGAGAACTAAAAGCAGACAAACAATAATGTGGTCGTTTTCAGGAATCTATTTATATGAACTAAATTAAAGAGCATCAACGGATACCATGTGCTTTCAGAAACTAGAATGACAAAATGTGAACATGTACTTTTTAGAAAAAACTAGATATGTGCTCGTGCGTTGCACCGGGTCATAAATTTTTATCCACATCTACTGTGAAGGATTTGATCATTTTTAGTAAAAATAAAAAACTATTAAACGGTTTTACATTGGGAACCTAAACTATTTCCAAATGCATTTTAGCTGTTTGTTTGTATTCAAAATAATTCACACGTATGCCAATTCTTTTGTTCCACATTGAGTATGGCCCTGACATTGATTTTCTTCCCATCCGCACACACAGATTTATATTCTTGGCTTTGGAGTTGACAATTTTCAGGCTTTTCATACTAACTTTGGAGCAAACTGTCTGAGTTTTGCATGTCCTTAGGCTGTTCAGGATTTATGTTTCACACGCAATAACATGGTTACACTCTCTAGTAGAAAAGGAACTTAACAATTTGAATTATAATTTTTGGATTTCATTTTGATTTTCATATAGATTTTATAAGTTTTTAGTCACTTTGTGCATTGTTTTAAAAAGACAATAAGCCAACAAAACACTTTGTATTGGGAACCTAGAAGTCTATGAAAATCTTGAGATCAACTATTATATTACTATTAATTTGTAGTTTATATTCTTTGCATTTTTTCACCTTGAACCTCCACTTTTTTCTGTTCTTGCCAACAGCTCCTTGCTGAATTAGATGATGAACTCACGTAGTCTTGGGGTGCCTCCTGTGAATGGGGGCAGAAGGCGTGAGTTTGAGCTGGATCAGGGTGGGCCACATCAAGCGAAGAACAAGCGGCACGGGTAAAGAGATTTTGTGTCCTCGTAGTTGAGGGAGAGGCCCTCACGGAACGACACCGCCTCCTGGATGTTTTGGTTGTCACCTTCGCTCGTCTTCGCGCAGGGCCCGCTCCCGGACCGCGAGGCGGCGGACCTCGTCGCGCAGCTCGCAGACGCACCCGCGGGATGCCACCGAGCGGAGTCACGCCCCGCGACATCAAGCCCGACAACCTCATCTTCGACGCCGGCGGCAGCATGCTCAGGATCAAGGACTTTGGCGGCTCTGCCGCCTGGTTCGGCAAGGCAGGCCCATGACCGGGCTGGTCGTTACACCCTACTACGTCGCGCTCGAGGTAGTGGCCGGCAAGGTCTACACAGAAAAGGTGAACGTGTGGTGCGCCGGGGTCGTGCTCTACATGATGCTTTCCGGGACCATGCCATTCTCGGCGCCGCCGCGGGGGAGATCTTACAGGCCGTGCTCCCCGGCAACCTGCGCTTGATTTAGATGCTCCACGTCATCCGATTAATCTCAGCAGAGGGACCTTTTGCAGTATAACTCTTTTCTTTGATCCGTACGTGGAGGGGCCTCGGACTATGCAGACGCGGGTGAAGGGGAACGTGGACGGGGCAGACTCTGCAGATGCGGACGAAGGGGAGCGAAGCGAAGGCATAGGCACACGACGATGACATTGGTTATTTTTCAGGTGTGTAGAAGAGTAGATATTCTACAGGACATAAGGATCCTAATTAAAAACTGAACTACGTATATGTGTTTTTTTTTTATTCCCGCTGCACCCAGTGCATCACTTGATTCGTTGTACCATGCACCGTGACGAGATACTCTGTATATGAATAGTTGTATCAAAGGTCGTGTGACTAGGAGAATCATGTATATATCAACTTTGGCACCGACGCTGATCGAGGAAAATTAAATGAGGTCAGTCTCGATGATAAAAACATGCCAAACACTCTCTCTCTGTCTTCTGGCTCAACTGATTAATTTAAGAGGGTCAACTGATTAATTTAAGAGGGTCATGCGTCCCAACAGCCAAGGTTCGAGACCTCTTCGTCTGAAAGAAAAAAAACTCAAGCTTCTTACAGATAAGTCAAATCACTCACGAGGCTACTCCCTCTGCCCAAAAATAAATACCATTCTCACTTCTGAAGAAGTCAAACATTTTTAATTTTAAGAATAAATCATTTAAATTTATGGTGTACGATAACTATAATTAGATTATTTATTGAATATATTTTAGTAATAAACTTATTTAGATATACAAATATTGCTAATGTTCTCTATAAATTTAGTCAAACTTAACCAAGTTCAACCAGCATGGAACCCAAAACGACACTTTTTTTTTGGGATAGGGGGAGCACAAGGTAACTATATCAGTTGGTTAACTGGGACAATGATGGCATTTGAAAACCCATAAAACTTGGTGTTTGAAATTGACATGTATGTGAGTATTACAAAACTCCTAAGGCCTTGGATGGATGCCCATGTTTCACCCTCAATCCATATGGGTTAGAGTGGTTTGGTGTGACTCAACCACCCCAGCACACATGGATTAAGGAGAATATATGTGCATCCAAACAAGCCCTTACATGTTTGTGGATATATATTTGCAATTGTTCCTACTTTTGGTGGAAACCGGCCATGGTTATAGTGCATACCAAGTAGTTCTTATCTTTATTTTATTTTTTTGGTTTCGCAATTGATGGTAGCACGCAGTAGACGCATATATGTATCAGGTACATTGCACGAGCTAGTCATACACATCCACATCCGCATCTATGTATCATCTTTCTATCTATATATATCATCTTGTCCCAGCCCTAGCAACCCTAGTTTCTAGCAAGCGCCTAGCGGCGAATACTACTATCACAGGTGACAGGCCGGCCGCAGTAAACAGGCAGCAAGACTCCAGAGGAAGCAGGGAACTGTAGCTGTAGCTCATCATGGGTATCAAGCGCATGAGCCCCACGGCGGCGGAGGACAGCTCCTCCTCCTACACGCGCTCCTCAGTCGCATCCACGGCCACCATGGAGTCCGGCGCCGCGCAGATGCTGGCTCCTGCACCACCAAGCTGCGCGGTCGGCGGAGACGTCATCTCGCCGGCGGGCGAGCAGGCCGTCAGGTCGCAGCCGTCGGCGGTGCCGCAGGGTTCTTCGCGGTTCAAGGGTGTCGTGCAGCAGCCCAACGGGCGCTGGGGCGCACAGATCTACGAGCGCCACACCCGGGTGTGGCTCGGCACGTTCGCCGTCGAGGAGGCCGCCGCGCACGCCTACGACGTCGCCGCGCTCCGGTACCGCGGCCACGAGGCGGCGACCAACTTACCGGGCGCCGGGGCGTCGTCGCCCGAGCTCGCCTTCCTGGCGGCCCACTCCAAGGCGGAGATCATCGACATGCTACGAAATCACACCTACGCCGACGAGCTGCGCCAGGGCCTGAGGCGCGGCCGCGGCATGGGCGCACGTGCGCAGCCCACGCCGGCCTGGGCGCGTGTGCCGCTGTTCGAAAAGGCCGTGACGCCCAGTGACGTCGGCAAGCTCAACCGCCTCGTGGTGCCCAAGCACCACGCGGAGAAGCACTTAAAGCGCGGGCCGGAGGCAGCGGCCACCGGCAAGGGCGTGCTCCTCAACTTCGTGGACGGCGAGGGCAAGGTGTGGCGGTTCGGGTACTCGTACTGGAACAGCAGCCAGAGCCACGTGCTCACCAAGGGCTGGAAACGCTTCGTCAGGGAGAAGGGCCTCCGAGCCGGGGACACCATCGTCTTCTCCCACTCGACGTATGGCTCGGAGAAGCAGCTCTTCATCGATTGCAAGAAGACCAAGGCGACCGCCACCGACGGGGCGCCGGTGCGGATGCCGGTGCTGCCACCAGCGGAGAAACCAAATGAAGCCCGTGTAGTCAGGCTGTTTGGCGTCGACATCGCCGGAGACGGATGCCAGAAGCGGGCACGGCCGGTGGAGATTGCGTTCGGGCATGGGCCGCAGGAATTTTTGAAGAAGCAATGCTTGGCGCATGATCTCTGTCCTGACCTAGGTGCCGTCTTGTTATAGCAGCGATCGTACCATACGCTAGCTATATTGTCGCATACTTGATCTTGAATTTAATTTTACTACTAGCTAGTGTTTGCGCTTCGTCTTTGCAATAACTTGTTTAAGTAAGACTGCAAAACTAGTTGTATGTACACCATTACGAAGTCTTGAGTTGCTTGTACGTATCTAGTATGTAGTAGTCCTATAAGATCACGCAAGTTTGGGCCATTATCGTGTGCAGCAACAAGTTAATTCGATCTGCTAGAGACTAAACATGTGTGCTTAATTCTTGTTTTGATGTGTTGTATTCACTCTCATACAGTCTAGCTTGGTTATTTTTGCTGCAGCAGTTCGACAGGCATGAATAATAAGTCGATAGATGTTGCACCACTATGCCAAAAAAGCACAAAGGAGACACCTTAATCAGTGACTCGAAACTAAAACGCGTCACTGATATGAGATCAGTGACACAGGTAAACGCAACGCGTTACTGAGCAGGAGTCGCTCACTGCCACTGAAGAAACACGCGTCACTAATAACGAGTCAGACACGTCTCTGATAAGAAGATCCTTAGTAGTGACTCGTTTTGACGAAGCGCGTTGCTACTAGAAGAGCACGGACCCGAAAAAATTATTAAATCCGGTGAAACTAGACGGGTCAGGTCCACACCCATCCCAACCCCGTCATCACTTCTGCCCCTCATCCCTAGTGTCGTCCCCCTCTCTCTCTTCTCTCCCCGGTCCATTCCCTCTCCTCGACATGAGCGAATCCATGGCTACGCTGGCCGGATCTGTAGCCCTTCTGCTCCCCCCTGCCGCCATCGCCACCTCTCCTCTTCCTCCTCTGCCGCTGCCACTGCGCCTCCCCCTCCCTCAACCACGATGGCTCCACGGAGGCCACATCTAGAGAGGAGGCAATCCAGCTGGAGAGCGAGCACTGGGCATGGCTCTCGACGGGAGAGATCTAGAGGGAGGGAGATGGGCAACAAGGTTGTTGTGGCAGGGATCCCACACCAGATCTCCATTCTCGATGGCGCCCTAGCGTCCACCCCCGTCGTCCCAGCGAGTGGCCGGCAGATCCAGCGAGGCTGGTCCGTCCCGATCCCTCCATGCCGGCCACCACCGTCCCTATGGCGAGATCAAGGAACGCTCTGGATCTGTTGAGGTGACATCATCGGTCTCTTTCTCTCCCGATGATTTCGTCCTACTTACTATCTATCTCCCTTGATTTCTCGATTTGATCCCTCATCAAAGCAGCAATAACCGCAAGTTGTAGCACCCGGTTTTAAGAACAAAATTAGATACACACCATGTGTGAGTCCAGGAAGTCAAATCTCACATATAGCTACAAATAAGGGTAATATCGAAAGACAATGCTCAATATATAACGTACTTAGTATAAATGATATAACCTTAGACATCAAACAGCGGAAAGACAACTCTATTTTTTGGGTGAAGACTCCAATTCCATAGGGACGACTGACTAGTTGATCACAAGCCTAATTCCTCCAAACTCTAGCAATCTGGTACCCATCTAGGATTTTTATCTAAATAATTGAAAAATAAAGCAAGCGTAAGTACATGTCGTACTCAACAAATATACCATGGGGTTCATGAGGCTCAAAAGGCTGACACTGCTTTAACTGCGATTAGCTTTTAATGAGTCATCTTTTAGCAATTGTGTGGCAACAAGTTTATTCACAGCCCATAAACACATGATCAGGTAAACATGAATAATGAATAGCATAAATAGTAATCATTAGTGAGCATCTTTATCATCAGTATCATCAGTATTCATCATCTATTTCGTAAATGTTCTAAGGCCGCTCGTGACCGTGAGCATGGCTAATATACCAGTTTTACACTCTGCAGAGGTTGTACACTTTCACTGTGAGTCATGATTTGCCCTTTCGCCCGAGGTCGCGAGCCTCTTAAACCACTAGCAAGGAAGGTCGACAGGGTTCACTATGAAGCCTTTCAAAGGTTCATCTAACAAGTTAGGACCGCTAAGGTTTCCCCATCAATAACCATGAACTCCCCTTCAAGGGGTGACTGACAAAAGGTTAAAAAAACCAAAATGCACTCCACCTGGCAAGCAAAGGTCATACCTGTTGGAGCCCCTTTTGCGCCATAAAGGTAACCACTAACAAGCTAGAAAAGGTGCTCATACTGAGCTAAACCCAGAGCCATATAGCCCTCATAGTTGTACTATAAGTCTCGGATGATCACTTACAGATAAGTCCTTAGAGAGAGGAATCTAGAGCACCATAAAAATAGCCCAATGCTCTAGTCCCCTGGTTCCATGTTGCTAAAAACATCTTTTAATGTTTATTGCATATTCCATTAGTGAAGTTACACAATCATGGCTTTAGTTTGAGCACTAGCATCATACTACCCAATGTAATACCCCATAGGTATCAAGGCACAAGGTACAAAGTACAAGGAAATCCTTAGTGGTAGTGAAGGTAGACACATGCAATATGAATTAAATGATTTTAGATGTATAGGACAATAAGGAAGATCCCATGCTATACTTGCCTTAAACTTAGATCCTTCTTCTATTGATTCGTAGCATCCAAAGAACTCCTTCTTGATCACCACGTAAAACTCACCGACTAGACAAGATCATTAAGCACCACACAAGCATCCGAACAAACATGCATATAATTCAAACATAACTATATTAGAACAATACACCAATTAGTTAAAAAATAATTTGAAATCAAATCTACGCGTTGCTACGATCACACATACGTAAAAAGCACGCTAATCATAGCTACGGTAAAAAAAGATACATCTATCGATAGATCTGCTTCGAAAAGAAACTATAGGCTTTATTTATTTTAGCTATATAAAACATGTATAAGATACTTCAGAGAAATATCTAAATTGTTTTAAGACAAATTATATTTGTATTAGAAAATCAGTATAAGATTAATCTTATTTTATTTACAAACGACAGAGGTAAAAAGCCTAAGTTGCTTTTAATTGAAAAAGTAGCTTCATATAAATTAATCAAATTACTATTTTATTCAAAAGCTCTAAACATGCTAAACAATGTTACTAACACCTAATTTACGTCGTTACGAATCTAACGCAATTTGAACGGGTCAAATCAGAGTTAAAACGGAGAAGATATGGCCTAATGAAGATAGTGGCAATTTTATAAATATTTTGAAATCAATTTCGTATTAAAAATAATTAAAAACTAGATTAAAACAGTCCTGTGGACCGGACTTCATTTTTAGGAAAACACAAGGGTTAAAACATAAAAACTAGGGCCATTGATTGAATTATTTTGAACTACGCTGGACGACAGGTTGATTTCTGGAAAAAGTTAGGGTCTCTTTAGCAAAAATGACAGGCGAAAGGGGTATCTTTGAATCTAGGACGTTGATCACGTGATGGACAGCTATGATTAAGTGGGAGGGGGAGAGAGAGAGCGTGCTCGGAGAAGAAGACGGCACGACAGCGGCCATGAATGGCAGCGAGGAAGCCCGCCGGCGAACCGGTTTAGGCCCTACGGACCACCACAAAGCAAAATGAGGGCACGGGGAGAAAGAGAACGGCGAGGCGAACTCACCTCAATAGATCTTAGTGGCGGGGAGTGGATGGAGGTGGTGCGCGGCGCAGCGGGGCGGATGGCGTCGATGGCGGCGCTACGAGCTCGAGGCGGCGGCTGCGCTTGGGTTATGCGAGGGGAGGCGGGTGCTCGAGTGGATACGGTGGACATGGCCCACTATTTATGAGGCCCAAGATGCTTGGGAGGCACTACAATGGCAAGGCATAGGTGGCGTGGACTCGACAGCGACAGCGGTGGTGGTGTCCAGCTCGGGCACGAGTGGGAAGAAGACAGTGCTGACGAGTGGGTCCACCTGTCAGCGACACACGCGAGAAGAGAAGAATGGCGCGACGCACTGCTCGGCTGGGCTGGCCCAAGAAGGAGGGAAGAAGGGGAGCGGGCCATGTGGGAAAGGATAGAGGAGTAGGTCGGGCTGGGCCAAAAGAAAGAGGAGGGAGATAGAGAGAGCAATTTTTTTTTCTTTTTGTTTTCAAAACCAAATTCAAATGTAAACCAAATCGAATTTGAATATGGTTTAAAATACACTTTTCAATTCAAATAAAAATAAGAAATTTTGGTAAGTTTTCCAAAAATAAATTTTACAACTTTTTAAATTCTTTTATTTTTAAATTTTCCTTTCTTTTTCTGAATTCTATTTTCAAGCCCATTTTCAAAAACATTTTAAATAAATTTGAATTTGAATCAAACCACTCATCACAATAAACAAAATGCAATGGCATTAATGCACAAAAATGTTGCTAAGCCTTATGTGAAATTTTAATATAATGAAAAATATTCTTTTTTCTATATTTCATGAGCACATAAATTCAAAAATAAATCATTTTAGCTCTATTTCAAAAGAGCAAATTTTCGGGTGTTACAATTCTACCCCCTTAAGATGAATCTCGTCCTTGAGGTTCAAAAGACGTCAACTAGGAGATAGGAATACTCCGTCTTTGGATTCTTCTTAACTTTCTCGTGTAGTTCCATTGTCTCGATAAGAATCCCACTTTACTTTGCACACCTATTAACCTTACTCCAAGTAACTTGCCAAACTGATTCCAAAATTTTGACAAATAGTCTAAACAATACTCAGGTATCTCTAATCACTAGGCCACCTTTACTATAATGCTAATTCTTTCTTAAAATATTCACCTTCCAACGGAGCCTTACGAATCTCTTGGTCAGAAGGAGATTCTTCCCCCAATCTTCAAAACATTAATGATTCCGGTTAAGTTGCTTGAACCTTAAATACAATACTTAGTCCTTGGTGTCACCCGAACCCTCTTAGCACAATTTTCCGTTGCTAAGGGCATCAGCCATGACTTTGCTCCTTGAAGTAATATCACTTTTTCAAGTCATAATCAATTTCATTCCAACGATAATGTCACTTGTCATGCCCAAATAGATAGTATCTCCATGCTCCACAATGGATAACTCTAGATCATACGTCAGATGTT